CTTCTTTTCTTTGAAACACCAATCAGAATGTGTCACTCATTGCCAGACTTCCTTAAGTCATCAGAGAGATTCATGGTGGACACAGTGAGATCTTGGTAAAAGTGAAACTCCTTCAGTCAACCTTTTGGGTGCTCTTAAGGAGAGAAGGAGGGACTAGCATAAAAATTCACAGGGAAGTACAGACATTGCTAACACCTAAACAAGGCCATTTCCAAAATATCAGTTTAGTAACTCTGAGAAGTGCTCAGTTGAAAAGAGATTGTGAAGTGAGCAGAGTTCTCTTTAGTTTTAATGCAAATCATTCCAGGTTTTTAGAGTTAGTGCAGGAGTAAGACTTCCCAGCCAAGGAAGAAATACTAGAATTGTCTGACCAAGCTTCTTATGGTAGAACATCCGGTGGGAGCTGTGGTTACTTAGGTTTTGGACTGAGGTTCAAGCACTCCTTGTGATAAGCTATGGAAAAGCTATTGACAAAATATATTCTTTTATTTTAAAAGTAAAATGGCATTTTTTTCCTGCATGATTGAACGAGAATAATTGCTTCAAATTTTGGGGCAAATGCCAGTTAAGGCAAATGAATACCTTTCAGGTATCTAGAAGACCTACCTTTCTTGGCTTGAATGTTAGTAATACAGTACTGTAGTATTAGAGGTGCTATATTTTATTGGTCAGTATTCTTCAGTAGGAGGGGGCTCAGTGTGCTTTTAAAAAAGCCATTGCCCAGCCAGGCATGGCTCAGTGGTTGAGCATTGACCTAGGATCCAGGAGACCAGGGTTCAATTCCTGGTCAGGGCACATGCCTGAGTTGAGGGCTTGATCCCCAGTCGGGGGCATGCAGGAGGCAAGCCGATCAATGACTCTCATCGTTGATGTTTCTATCTCTCTCTCCCTTCCTCTCTCCGAAATCAATAAAAATATATTTTTAAAAAGCCATTTAAAATCCCTAGGATGACGTGGAAGGGAGTTTTGCTTATCATTGCTTTTACAGGGAGAGCATAACTTTGTGACATTGGTTTTGATTTCATAATGAATAAATAGGAAGAAAGGAGGAAAGCTGACTTTGGGGCTGGCAACAGAAGATAAATTTTTTTCCCTAAGAAACCCAAAGACTATTTCGTGAAGTTTAGAATTTTCAGGATAAATAATTTTTTCTCTTTCCTCAGGGGCTTGCCTGCCTAATTCTCGCCATGTCTTTGGATATACTTACCTGAATTACCTGCAGGTACAGAGAAGTTCAGAGTCACCCAGCCTAAAGTTTTGCATATTTTAGCCCATTTAAGCTAAACTCTGAAAAGTAATAGAAATTGAAGCTTACAGGGGTTATAACTTCTCTATGTTCACACAGCTAGTTTTTGGCAGAGTCAGGACTTGAACCCAGGTCTTTTGACCCCTAGTCCAGAGTTTGAGTTTGTTTTCCCCTTTGAGAGTGTAAAGAATTTTGTAGTCTACAGGACAACTGTAGATGGGAGAGGGGAGCATGTGGAGATAAGTTGGTTTAATCAAAAGCCCTACAACACCACCAAAACTCTAGTCCCTTGTGTTGCTATTTCTACTATTATTTGTTGTATTAGTAACAATATTACTAGCTTTCTGTGTGTCAAGACAGTTTTCTTAGTACTTTATGTGGATTGTCTCTTTTAATCCTCACAACCACCCAGTGTGTTTTATTTCTTCCACTTTACAAAAAAGAAACTGAAGTTTAGAGAGATTGTGGTACTTTGCCCAAAGTCATATAACTAAGAAACAATGAAGCCGGGATTTGAACCCAGTCAGTTTGATTCCAAAGTCTATATTTTTAATTGCTTAGAATCATAATTCCAAATAACATTTCTACCACCAGTTTACAGTAGAACAAACCGTTCCAGGGACCGTGCTACTGGCAAGTGATTTTTTTTGTCCTGCTACCTGGCTGGCATTGTCCAACTGTTTGGTCCTTCTGGGTACTTGATTCAACTTAACTAGTTTTGGTTTGGAATTCTTACAGAAAAGACTGATTTTTTACCATTGTCATTGCTTGAATGCTGGAGCCTTGCTATAGACTCATAGAACCTATGACTTGTTAAGAGTAAAACCAGTTATTCTCAGAAAATCTAGTATTAGGGGAGTAGCAAGGTTCACTTTATGTGCCCTACACCACTCCTTCACTTTGGTCTTTTTTTTTTTTTTTTTTTTTGAGA